ATCTTTCGCATTGGACTGCAGTGGTTGACGGCCCGCTGCGCGGCTTTTGCTCGCTCACCTGCACCTCCTTGCCATCATATTTGTGCCAAAATAACGAGAGCCAGGATCAGCCCCGATCCGCCATCTATCCTCGGCATCCATGGACAATTCATCACCAATCTTTCCCTCTCCTCTCTTTACCTGGTTACGGTCTCAAGAAGAGGGGCAGAGGAACAAAGTGGAGGGGCGGTCTCAACCATCATTCCTCGATTGAGAATGGGAAATCCAAATACCACAAATCCACACCGGCCGCCCAGCTACGTACAGCCATCGATCGAATCCACACCATGATGATATCCTGGAGACATCATCGATCACTTGTAATCCACCAGGTACGGGATTTTTACCAAAGGTGTTGCACCTACGGTTAATCTACCTCTTCTTTGTTTCGTCATGTCACCAACCCACGAGTCAAGACGGCGGATCCGGAATCGGGCGGTTCCTACAGCTCTACGGAATTCCGATCTTCAGCTCCAAAGGCGGAGGTGAGGGAGGGATGGGAAAAAGAAGCTTTTTTTTTGTTTTTTTTTTCCTCTTGTGCTTCCAGCAGGTGTGGATTTCTCGCAATTCCCGTGCCGTCGGCGTTGGCCGCCGCGGACAGCGGGAATAACGGGGCCTGCCACCGCCGCGTACAATTCCTTCTTCACCTATTGTCGTCGACTTGATGACTCGACCTGGGTTGAAGATTTCCAAGAACATGCCATTGGACAAAGGTCGTCAGAGTCAAGTCAGACAAGTTGAGTACAGCCCACCCCTTTGCTCGGCCACGCCCCTTGGCGTGCGGTCTTTTGCGCCTCGACAATTGTAGGTGAGTAATGATATTATTACGGCAGTTGCAGTCGATAAGCATTACCAGCGGCAGGACGCAGAGCATAGCAAATCTCCCAGCATCTACGAGCATCCTGGGAGGTTAGGTGTAAGAGGTATGCAATATGTAATATTCAAGTGGGAAAACAAAACAAATTGGGCAGAATTCAAAGACAAGACAGAATCTGCCCCAACTTCTAAAGCCCCAAGTCTCCATCGGGAAAAATAAATCTGACACGCGACGCGGCAACTAATTTCTTCGCTTTGTTAGGAAATGACCAAGAAAGAGAAGGTGTTCCTTGGAAGTGGTTTTGGGCCTTGTGGTCATTTCGCTGATTCATCCGTTGAGCCAGTTCATTTCATTTCATTTCACTTGCAGCCGTGGCAGATGTCCAGCTCGGACACGATGAGAAAGTCATGACCGAAAAAGACGAAACTACTAGTACCTCATCATGGCTTTTTCAACAATCGCTCAAAGGGTATTCTTTGGTGGTTTGATACCTTGGCTTTTCATGTTGGATGGCGTGGTTGAGGCACCAGCCACTGAGGATTCCATTCGGTCTAGCGCCGGCATCGACGCCCGCCAAGCATGGACACCTCGCGGTTCCATGGACCAGAGGAGTAACACATCATCGTCACCATCATCATCGCAGGCTCGTAGCGCGACTGCCATACAGTGCACAGAGCCGGACGGCTCAAAGGGAAGGAAGCATCAGATGCCGCCTGCCACCTGCCTGCCACCTCTAGCAGAATATGGGTGATGCCCCTGCCGCGCTGATGGCTGGCTGCCGCAGGAAGTCGGTACGTATTTCCGATTGGCATGGAAGGAACTCCCTCCACGCCAAGGAAAAGTCGGTACCTGAGGAGGTACTTTTTTTTTTTTTTTTTTTTTTTCNTTTTTTTTTTTTTTTTTTTTTTTTTGCTCAACCTGCCATCAACCATCAGCCACAAGACTCCCCCCCCTCCTCTTGGATCCTGGGAGACCCCCCGGCCAGCAGATCCTGGCAAGCAGCGTCCAACCCATCCAGCCAGCAGCTGCCGGAGCAGAGCTCTGTGCTGAGGTAGGCTCTGGACTCGCACGCATGAGGAGACCAAATTCGTACCCGCCGCCTGGCTGCATCGGGGAGCGCCTCCTGCCGCCCAAGCTTTGTGTCTGGAATCGGTACGTATCTACTCATATCAACATTTCATCCGTACCTCTGCCTCAGGTACATTCAATTCAGTCTTCCTTCACGCGCACTTCACAGGGTGCTCATCTTTTCTACATGTCCTCGTCACCTCTCAGATCAATTGCCTCGAGAACGACACCTGCGGTACATCCCATGCCTACGTGAGCCATCATCCGATACGTACCTCCCTTGAGCTGAGGCACTTTCTTCCCCCCCCCTCGCTTCTACGCAGTGTACACGCCTCACACTTTACGAAGGAAAGCGCAGATAGCAGCGAGAATTCATACTGACAGTGAGAACGTTCTGCGGTACAGGTAGAGAAAAGCAGGGCACGAGGGGCCAAGAAAAAAAAAAAAAAAAAAAAAAAACANGGGGGCACGGGGGGCAAAAAAAAAAAAAAAAAAAAAAAAAAAACCACGGGCTTCCTGCTTACACTCCTCCCCCTGGGCCGGTCCGCGTAGTCGTCGTCGTCCTCCATCTGCCACCCATCAGACGGAGGCAGCAAGACGGGGCTCGCAGCGCAGACTCGGCGGCCATTGTCGTAGTCCCTTCCCTGCTCTCGAGTATCTCATCTCGCAGAAAGTGACAGGGGGAAAAGAGAGGGAGAGTTACAGAGAAGGCATACGACACACCAGGTCACTGAGGCACGGCAGCAACGGCCGTCACTTTCCCTTCCTTCCCATTTGCACGTTCGTAGTTTCGCCTTCACCTAAGAAGTACAGGCAGACAGGAAGACCACAGGGCAAGCTCCTCTAATTCTCATCTCTCACCAACTTCGAGGTTGGGTCTTTCTCAACATCCCCTCTTCCTTCCCGCACACTCTCCTCCTCCTCCGCGGGCTAAGGCATTCCTTGACCCTCCTCTTCACGTCCAGGTCACGACTCCAAGAGTCCAGGTTCATCCTGCTGCTCTTTCACATTCGCACCTACCTACCACCCCTCCTCTCCCGGGTCCCCTCCATCTCTGGCGACTCCCTTTCCCCTCGCGCAGGCTGTCGTTGCGCGTCTCCACCGCGAGCCAGCCCTCGTTCGCTACCTAACCTCCCAACCTGTATCCGTACATACCCAGGCGTCCCATATTTGCCTACGTTACCCCATTATTATTTGGGGTTTTTTTTTCCCTTTCCCTCTTCCGTCCGAGGAGTATTAAATTCATTCTTTCTCCCGGGAACGGCGCTAAGATCGAGAACTCCCTCCCCTCGTCATAGCCTTCATTGGGTTTACCCCCTTCACCCCCATCCGCTAGCTCGTCTCTGCCCCTTCCCCTTCTTTCCTTGACCTCACTTGCCGTACCGTACCGGGCGAGAGTCAGAGAATAGACACCAGAAACACAGACACAGACCAACAGACAGAGAGACAGCTTTCTCTCTTTCTTTGCCGTCCACATCCACACTTCCACTTTCATCTCACGCGCAACATCCGTACCTTCTTCGTACGCCGCCAGCGCTACTACGACGTCGACTACTTTCCCTTAGTACCAACGGGGGAATCGAATCGCACTACCAACGCACGCGCACGACGCTCATACCTGCTGCTACTGCACAACCAGCGCGTCTGACTACGTCTTTCCCGCTGCCGATACGTTCGTCACGTCAACTCGACTCGAGCAAGACTCGGGAAGAAAGAAGGAGCAACACACACCCTCCACCAACAGACCAGCCCACCACCACCACCCTTCACCCACCCAACCCACCATTGGTACCAAGGCCAAGGCGAAGGCCACCACGCCCCCCTACCACCACCGCAAGCACCGAGCACCACCAAACCCACCACCACCACCACACACCCAGCTGCCTCAACCTCCCCCCGGCCAACCCACGCTGCTCCCAAGTTCACACCCACGCTACGCTACCCGGGCTGCCCTGCTGAGCTGTGCTGCCCTGCGCTGTGTACTGCAAATCACACACACACACACACACACACACACGCACAAGCTCCCGTCAATCACACCTGGAGACGCAGACCTTGACACGCTTAACGCGCATTCAACTCACACTTTTTCCGTCTGCACTGCGCCCTCGCTTCTGCTGCTTCTTTTCCTCTGTTGCATCTGCATCTTGCGTTCTCCTGCATCCGCAAGCCAGATCAGACAAGAGTCATTCGCTTTCTCGGGACTCCCATCTTCCATTCACAAATCTTTCGCATACCGCAAGTCAGGTCCTAGCCTAGACCACGCCAAATCCAGACATACGCCTTCCCGATCAAAGACAGCACACACCCTGCGCTATACGCAAAGAGGAACAATTCGACATCCCATCCCCACTCTACCACCGCCCTCCCTACCTCCAGCTTTCGCAGCTGCCACTGCCGCTATAGCGACTCCTCACTGAGCGTGTACCTACGGCACTCCTCGCCGCCTCTGGTTCCGGGGCTCCATCAGCTCGTGGGCCTCCCCCCTGCTCTATCTCCGATCCAGACGCTAAGCTGCTCGGCCTGAACTCAAGCGGAGGAGCCCAGCCCTTCCTTTACCTCTCTAGCGCACTATTTTAGTGCCGCTCTCCCCAGGCATTACCGTCAACCTCCTCTCAGCCAGGAAAGAGAAAAAAAAAAGAGGCGTCCTTTCCGTGATCTGGCAAAGACAACGCTATCCTTGCCACTTTGAGAGATCCTCGCTCAGGGCCGTGGCTAGTCGACTTTGTTGTCATCACATCCCCATTTAACCATAAACCCGAGCCCTTGGGTGGTCCGCGCTATCTTGGCCGCCATCTTTATACACCATCGCCGCGCCGCCTCAAGTCTCACTTCACTCTGGTATCATTCGCTTGTTACCATTCTTCCATCATCCTTCTTTCCATTCTTCAAGTACAAGCCAACCGCCGCTACTTGAACCCGTCGCGCCTTGGACCAATTCACCTACCGCTCTTGACCTCGGAATAAAAAAAAAAGACACGGCCTGTCACCACCAACCTACGAACCTGCTGTTGGCTCGAGAACTAAGGACTCTCCGGCCATATTTTGCGATCAAGACGTTCCACTGAACTGTAGCATGTTCTTGGTTCCAACGCAACATCAGTTCGTTGACAACCAAGCTTCACTGCTCTCTTCAGGCTCTCCCCAGCTTGGAGGTTCTCGCTCAGAAGCCGCTGCCATCAGTTCGCTTCTGTCGTCCATCAGCACCTCTATGGAACGCAGTGCTACCGAGTACTCGCAGTCAGGTTTGCCTTCGCCTTACCCAAGCAACTGCGGCGACACCCGTTCTGAAGGTTCTTCTGCAGATCACGCATCTGCTGCGCAATACGCGACCCAGCAAGAGGTTCGCCCCAGCAACTACTCTACCTCGGCCACTCCCACCTCCGAGTACAGCGTCTACCCGCCGTCTGCGCGGTCAGGATCCTTTCCTGAACATATTCAGCGATCATATCATCCAGCTAGCAACCACAACGGTAGCAGCGGAGGCATGGCGCAACAAGCAAGCAGTCCGTCTTTGCCCCAGCAAGATGGGCGTCACCATCAGGTCCCTCTGGCCAAGTCTGACCACGATGTACCCATAGATCCGTCGATAGCGGCGCCGAGCCCTACCTACGCGTACGGACAGCACTCTCCGTACGGCCCTCCGCCGGGAGACATGTCGCACTCATACCAGCACCCTTACGCGCAACCCCGTCCCGACTGGACCGGCTATGGTCAGCACAGCGCCGGTCCTTTGACACCCGCGAACCACGTCTTCCCCCCGACGCCGAGCTCAGCTCCTCCCCAGGGCCGACCTAACCAGGTAAGTTGAGCAGCGAAGTGTGTCGAGCCAATTGGCCCCGCGCGGTAGGCAGATGTTGCGATGTCAATTGGGTCCCTGATTTGGCAATTTTCGCGAGAATTACCCAGTTTGGCTTGGAAATTCAGCGAAAATCTCAGGATGAGGGGTCCCAGGCATTGCGGCAGCGCGCCATCGACGTGGGATCTGAGGCTGGCACGCGCGCGCACGTTTTTCCACCTTCAGCATGAGATACAGTGTACTGACGTAACAGTTTGGACATCAGGTCTATTCTTTCGTTCCGATCCCCGGTGCCCAGCAGCACAAGCGACCCCGCCGACGATACGAAGAGATTGAGCGCATGTACAAGTGTGGCTGGAATGGCTGTGAGAAGGCCTATGGTACCTTGAACCACCTGAACGCGCACGTCACAATGCAGTCCCATGGACAAAAGAGAACCCCAGAAGGTACGTGAATTTGAGTGTTGACATGTTTCGGGACAAAGCATCGCACGAGGATATGGGAGCGCGTCGCCTGGCGCGCTAGTGGCCATGAGCTAGTTTGTTGCTACAGGCCGACTTCGACAAGAGTTGACTACTACCACCCAATTGATATGATGCTGACGATGCTTTATAGAATTCAAGGAGATTCGCAAGGAATGGAAACAGCGCAAGAAGGAGGAGGAGGCTCAGCGAAAGGCCGAGGAGGAGCGTCAACGTCAAGCTGCCGCTGCTGCCGCAGCAGCCGCTCAGAATGGTTCCGCAGACCCCCAATCCGGCGCTGATGGAGCATCGTCGGCATCCGCATACGGCACCAGCCGTCAGGTTCAGCTTCCGCCCATCGGCTACCAGCCCTCGCAGTACCCGGCACCCCCTTCCGCAGGAGCCGTGGCTCAGCAACCTCTCCCCGAGTACAACGGGTCCCACATGTACTCGGCCAACTACCAGCCTCAGTCACCTTACGGCCAGCCGAACCAGAGCATGTACAGCTCACGTTAGTTCAGACCCCCTGCGTTCACCGAGCACAGGAGGCTAACTGCACAGCAAGATAACGGCGGTCAGACCACGAGCCACTGAGGCGCGTTGACTTGCTTGGGGACGCCATCGGAAATGACCCAATATAATGATAGAGGGGGGAGAGAGCTTGTACATTAACGGGTTTCCTTTCGCGCGACGACTGCAGCTCAACGGCATCTGTCCATACGACTTTCCTCTCGTTCGGTTTTTAGACGCGCGGCAAAATTCTGGTTCACGAAGCGATATCCTATCCGTCTTGGGCTTGGGACTTTCACATTTGACGGAGTAAACGCACAGCATGGTGTCGACGCGTCACCAATTCTCACCGACTCGGGTATACATACCCCACTCACCTGAGTCGCTTCTACAAGCGCATCATCACCCGACGGATTGCGTGTTTCTTTTCAATTTTTTCTTCTTCACATAACATGATGCATTGGGAAATGGCTTTTCTTTGGACCTGGTTTCTGCATTTACGAGGGTTTTGAGGGTGATGATTTCACGAACCAGGTGTAGGCTCACTCTGCGCATTCTGGAGGGGCTTTTGCGATATCGAAGTTTCTCCTCAGCGTCACGACTACGTCTTTTGCGGCACAGCTTCACCAGACGGGCGCCTGATGGGGAACAGCGAATCGATGAGGGCCCAGAACGCAACTTTCTGATAGCTTCTCTATCTTTCGAGTACGCGTTTTCCTTTCCTTTTTGGACTTTGGTCCCTTGAGGCGGTCCTGCTCTTCGAGAACGGCGATCAGGATTTTCCGCAAAGGGTCCCTTTCTCTCGGGAGATGGCGAAAGCACGGGGTTGGCAAGGACGGGCCTTTGGAGTGGCGAGATACCAGTACACGAACGGGTCAAGGGCGCGCGAGGGAGTCGAGATTGATTTTTTGGTAGTTGCGGAAAAAAGGGAAATGTATAAGACTTCTTTTTTTTTGGCAACAAAAGACATACCCGGTTCACTAAGGTTTACAACTTGATGGTGAATTCACTCGGTGATCAAGGCGACAGGACAGTGTGCTGCATAGAGCAAGATGCAAAAAAACTCTGCGACCCATGAGAGTGGTTGGTAAAGAAGATCCCTCCATGCATCCCGCCGGCCCTAAGCTGTCTTTCCGCGTAGACGAGTTTAGGACGAACACCGTGTGGGAGGCAGGGTGGGCGGTGGGATAGTGAGGCTGAGGCTGAAGCCGCTGAAGAACTTTTTTGGCGGGACCAGGGGTGCTCGATGCTGTCTGTTGGTTCTGGGGTGTTGGATGACGCAGACGGGCGGGCTCAGAGGCATGGATATGGATGATGGTGGTGGTGTGTTTGTTGTTGGTGGTGGTGACACCATTCCGTTGCGAGTTTAGGTTCTGCGTCTTGGTAGTCTTTTCTTACGTGCATAACCTGGAGAACAGAGACAGGGTTCACTGCTTTGCCGAGTCCTCCTTTTTTTTTTTTTTTTCTTTTTTTTCTTGTGTTGTCTCTAAACCCGAGAGAGCCTTGGGCTAGTGTTGGATGGGAATGGGACTTGGTTTTTTCGTTGGTTCGGAAAGAAAAGATCTTGTGTAACTGGCGCTACGGGAGTGGGATGCGGGCAAGGGTTGGTTTGTGGGTTACGTTAGTGCTGCCGTCTTCTACTTCTCCCGGGGCCTTGTTTGCGTTGTACGCGCGGGTAGGTGCAGATGGGTAGCGTGGTATTTATTTTCAACGAGACATCATTTTTTTTTTTGGAATTTTTCATTGTTCTGTGGCGGCTGCATTGCATGAAGGGGGCAGGAAGGTTAAAGATGGAAGGGTGTGGGATATATGTGATGGTTTAGAGGGGGGAATATGAATATGCTTTCTTCCCTTCCCTTCCGAATTGTCTTTTTGCATTGGTTCTTGGAGTGGCGAGAGGGTGTGTATAGATTGACGAGGGGATGGATGGGAGAGGACCGAAGGATTTTGAGTGTGCATATCGAGGATTGAGTTTTTTTCTACGATTTCCTGTTCTCTCAATGAGGGGTCGACATGAGGAAAGGCCAGCCAGGCCGCTGGGAACAAAAAGGCTTGTTTTGTGTGCGGGTGACGGGTGAGGTCGAGGTTTAAGTTGAGTTGAGCTGACGTTTCGCTCCGCTCCGCGGTGCGGCGGTCGGTGTACCCGAGTTGCCGTGACACCGGTGCGTTGGTTCCATTTGGGAGCCTTGCAATTTTTGTCTTTTTGTGTGAGGTTACGTTCTGCCGCTTATTCTATTTTTCTATTCTTGTTCTTATTTTTTTTGGAGGGGACTATTGTGTTACGTTTTCCTGTGTCGCCACAACTATGTACCCTTCGTGTGCGTTGGGTTGTCAAAGTAGTTGGGCGTTTGTGCATGCCGCTCAGGGATTTCCTACCTTAGTGCAACCACATCATCGGAATTCTGGGCGCATGGGGTGGAAAAAGGTAAAAGACGAGCGATCGCGATCGGAGAAAAAGATGTTTGTTTGCCTGGTGCGTGCTGGCTGCAGCGGCGCCGTAGTATTGGGGGCCGCAACTGAGAGGAAGAAGAAACGAAGAGGAAGGGGTGACAAACACAGATCGCGGTGGAGTTGGATGCAACGAGTGTCGTGTGCCTTGTTCCTCGAAGCGTCTTTGCGCGCGCGCGGTAGCTAGCGGCAGCGGCAAGCGGTAAGTTAAGCGTCGTGGGTTGCGGTGGGTAAACCTTTTTTGTCGGTTCGTGGGAAACCCCAGATTTTGACGGGCGGTGCCGCGCCTGTTTAGCACGTTGCTCGGTTCAGGTAGTCCTCGTGGGTTGGCTTCTTTTAAGAATATATTCCCATGCGAGTTGCGAGGGTCTTTGCCTCTTTAGCGTCGACTTTATTAGGTTGTTCGGGATGTTGCGTGGTAATGACTTACTCACGTACCTTGACGAACCGCCGGGCGCCAATGTACTGTACATGGCGATCTGAAGAAGGGGGTGGTGGCCCTGTGTGGTTTGTTTTTTGGGCGTGGGTTCCTTTTTGGATTTTTGGCCCCCAAGGCAACCTACGCTTCGGATTGTGGCGGGCGTTTTTTTTTGGTTTTCCTGCGAGGTTGCCGTTTGGGAGACGGTGTTGTGGGTTCCCATTTTTCCATGTCAGTTTTGGCGTCGAGCGTAACGGTTCAATAGTTGGTTGTCAGAGTTGCTGGTTGCATTTTGGGACTCTTCAACTTGGTAAGCTGACAGCATAACGTAATGTACTGCGTAGTTGTGACAATCAACTGTTGTTTCTCAGTCTAAGATAAGTCATCTTTTTCCCCCTGCAATTCGTGGCGTGTTGTTTTCAATTGAAAAGTGTTTCATTCAATCACCATGTGGAAACGCCTCGCATGGTCGGTTGTCAAGTTGCGAGACGTCTGGAAGGGTCCATTGTGTGGCGATGCCGAGGCTCGCTTATCGCTGTGGCTATCGTCGCGAAGCTGCAAATCAACCTGCCTAACCTACCCCTCCAGCGAGCGACGTTAGTGCTTCAATGTTGTTGCAGTGCAGGCCTTGCCAGAGAGTGAGGTGAGCACCCGCAATCTCAGCAGTGCATCTAGTGTGTGCTACCGATGACGTAGGGTGCAGTCCAGCGACGTCAAACCTGGAACAGGAGGGCCACGCCCAACGGCAACGGCGCCCGAGTTCCTCTGCGCTGCTGTGCCAGTTTGCCGTGCCGTGCTGCTGTCTTAAACAGAAACGAAAAGGGGGGTCTGGAACGAAGGAAGGCGCTGGTCCTCTGGGGAAATTGAAATTTGCCTGCGGTCAGATTTGTCTTGCATGCAAATCCAGGAGGTGAGGTGGGAGAGGGAGCAGACTGTCCGCCGCCAAACCACCGCATGACTGCAGGAAGCGACGCTGATGGCGGCGAGTGGGAGTGAGTGCCGTGCCGTGCCAGACTGGAATAAATCTTGGTTGCCTCCTCTGCAGCGTCACATTCCACGATCTTCTTTCTCGCTCCTTCCCTCCACCCGTCGAAATTTCCCCGTGCAACTCTCGTTTCTATTGTTCGGCACCTTCGCTCGACAACGCCTGTCGTTCGCAGCTCTGCCGCTCTTGCGGTTTCCGACTGTTTACGGCTGACTGCCTTGTACCCGCCTCGACAGCATCTCCTCCCTTGCTGGCTGTCATTTTCTTCTCGCCTTCCACCTCGCGCGAGGCAAAAAAAAAAGAAAACACTTCGCCGCCCAATCCTGCGCTGTTTAGAAGGTCGCAAGCACAACCGAACCTGATTTCCATCGCCCGTTTCCACCCTCGTTTCCTTTGCGCAGACCTTACCTCTACAACACAATCACAGCTTCATTACCGCCTCCAACGGATCCATCCTAATTTCTACCTCGGGTCCAATTACGCATCACTCTGTTACATATTAGCTACGACACGATCGATATCCAGCAAGCTTAATCGGCAGCCATTCAGCAGTTTCTCGCGTCCCCCTTCGCGCCTCTTCTTGTGTCATCATTGGACGGTGGTGGGACCGGACCCAACGCCTCCAAAATGACCGCCGCCGCCTCAATCGACTCCAATGTTCGGCCCGCTCTGTTCAGACCTTCGGGCCTGCACAAGTCCGACTCCTCCGTCTCCACCACCGCACCATCCTGCAGATCCATCCGCGTCACCGGCGCTCATCCGCTTGGCAGCCTTCACGTCCATCAACCTCTCGAATCTCCGCTGTCTCAAGAAGTCGCCGCCATGAACCCCAACATCACACCCGACGACGATGAGCCGCCCCCTCTGGCCGACATTGAACATGAGGACACCATGGACCTGGTCCCACAGGACCATCTGCAGCATGAGCATGCACTTGGAGGCGGCGACATCGTCCTCATCATGGACCTGCCCGCCTCCTTCACCATCGGTTACGACTCAGTCTCCTTCACTGCCCGCGAGTTTTTCGGCGTCAGAGACATCCCGCCCGGCCCGCACTTCTTCTGGGTCTCAGAGACCGAAGCCAGCACCACCCGTTGCGGCTTCTGGATCGTAAGCTCAGCCACGGAGAAGATTCACGTCATGCAGTGGGACAAGTTCAACGAGGTCGTCGGCGAGCCCGCCAGCCAGGTCGAGGCCCGCTTCCAAAAGGATAACATCCGCGACGTCTATCCCAAACTAGCGCCCTACCAGTTCCGCGCCCTCAACGCCAACGTCAAGCCAGCCGCATCCACCTCGCAGCCGCAGTCACAGAGCCCAGACCCCGAGTTCGCAAGGAGCACCAACATCTGGCAGCAGCTCACTAATGCCATCTCCCCGAGTCTGCTCAGCAGAATCACGGCGCGCCAGGCCGGCGACTGGGCGGTGCACACCTCCGACCGCGTGAAGGGCGCACTGATGCTGCCCGCCGAAGTTGAGCTCGAGAAGAGAATCCCCAACGTCGTGGCGAGCACCGAGCTCAACTTTACCTTCAGCCAGGCCGCGAAAACGTACGACGTGGAAAGTATCGGCTCGGTGCGGACGGAGCAGGCAGTTGATGCGACTGCACACCTCCTCACGGCAGGCATCAGCGACGACGACATTGTAGGCGAGTTGCAGTTCGCCTTCCTCGTCGGCATGCACCTGGGCAACGAAGCTTGCATCCAGCAGTGGTGGCACATGCTGGTGTCTCTCGTCCTCAAGGCCTATACGTTACCCCTCAAGCGCCCTGAGCTCGCTCGGTCCCTCTTACAGACTATTACTGCCCAGCTCGTGTACAACGAGCGTTATCTCGACGGCTCCGTCCTCGACTACGGCCCATCCTACGCTCGGGATCTGAGGATGGCTTTGATCGTCTACAAGCGCCGGCTCAACGAATTGCTTCTAGCGCTCAACTCGCTCGCCACGCCAGAGCAGGCCCTCGTCGGCCAAGCATTCTCAGACCTCGAAGCTTGGGTCTGGAAGTTCGGCTGGGACATCCGGAGCGACTACCTCCGCAAGGGCAAGATGAGGCTCGAGGACGGCGAGGAGGTTGAGGTGGAGCTGGACGACCTCGAGGCGGAGGACGAGCGGGGCGAGTTTGCGCCCGAGATGGTTGAGCTGGACGAAAGCGGAAAGCAGAAGGATCTTGTCTCGTGGGATTAGAGCTCCGGGGTCAGGAGGCGCTTGTTGGAAGCAAAGGAGAGACGTCGTCGCAAGTCCCAGGCCCAGCAGACAGCCAAGATGCTGGCGGATGCTGAGCCAGTGCTGCCTGTTGAAGCAAGGCAGCGTCGGTTCTCATCTCGGAGAACGTCAATCATTGATACACTGCGGCCTCGGTCATCGAGGAACTCTGCTGTGTTGCATGTTGAGTTTTGAAGTTGGAGTGACGGGGCAGGAGAATGGATTTGAGTTCACACACGCCCACCATGCATGGAAAGTGGAGTTTGGGCAGGCACGGAGTCTTGTTGGATTAGGGATTTTTTTGGCATTTGGAATTTCAGCATGGGAGTCGTCTTGGCCGTTGCTTTGTTGGCAGGGAGGAATTCGTGAGGGCGCGCGTGGCTCTTTGTAATGACGGGAGGATGGTGTCCCTGTGTCTTTGATAATAAGCATACCTTTGCACAAAAAGCTCTCGGTCTTGATGTAGGAGTGAGCGGTAATGTCTGGGTACCCTTGACCTCGCGTAAGAGGACTAAATCACTTCTCTATAAAGTGTGAACGCTGACCTGAGGTTGTGACACACCAGGCAATGACGTGGAAGTCATGACGTGGGAGACAACAATCGTGTTAGACAAATCTTCCTGGACCAAGTCCATAGACTGAGTACTGGCAGCTTGCAGGCTGTTCAGCTCATGCTTTGGGGCCTGGAGATGAGGTATTCTGCACGGATATGATGAGGACGAAGACGACGGCGGAAGATTCGAGTCCAGGGGTCTAGAGGTCTGAGATTGTCCTGTTTGTGGTGTCATGGTTCTATAACCGGGGGAGGTCCTTGGACATTGTACATCGTAGAGGTAGAAGCTTTCTGATGACCAGCCTATGGTCCAATTTCCTACGAATGAGGGAGCTGTCGACGTTTTATATAGGAGCAGCGGCAAGGTTGAGGACTCGAGAATCGATCGTACGTTGCAAGGTGGGCGCAGAAAGACGCACGAGATCAAGTTCTTGTCTCAGCGGTCAATGTTGATCAGACAACTGCTTGTGACACCAATACCGGTTATGGTGGTCTCGGAATCTAACCGGCTGTATATTAATCGTAGTAAGAAGCTGTCGGTAATGTCTTGAACGGCGACCAATTGATTTGTATAGCTTTGATCCAACCTCCTCTGTCAGCTAACAATCATGAGATTGCATCCAAGAGATTTTTACCTCTTGCCATTGCTCGCTACACACCACGGATCTCACGTATTATTGGAGCTTGGTAGGGAAGTACGCCAGAGACGATGGAAAGCAGCGCCTGTTCCTCTCGCTCTTCTGCTGCCCCAACCGCACTAGTCATGGGATACCCGTTCTGCCACTATCAATGTGACGTTCATATCAACAGTGACAGTACCCAAACATCTGGAACGACATAAAATTGTGTGCTGATACTATTCAATATAAAAATGGAGTATTTAAGTCATCACCGAAAGTGTTGCCATGTGCGTCCTGTTCCTTGTCGGCGCCGCTGGGTCACTTCTGACCTGACGTGGTGCTGACCTCCAACCTTCTTTACGTCTTGGAGGGGGTTTAGCTTGGGACTCGAAGCTGGCTGGAGGAATTTCCACTTCGGAGTATAAATGCGTGAGGCTGCAGTCTCCATGGGAAGAACAAGCCGAGATTGAAGGTTTTGCATGTCGTGAACGTTGGAGTTAGATACGGCGGCAGCTTGGTGCCCAGATCCACAGTATTACACTCTCAATACCATAATGACCAAGTCGGAGACGCCTCAACTGTTTTCTGTCGTTTCTCTCATCGATTGAGTATTTGCCTCGACAACAACAAGGGAAGGGGGCGGGGGCGGTGGTGATCTCTGCGATGGAGCAACTAAGAGAGCGGAGTTTCCTACCATCACAATGACTTGGTATTCATGCCAGTGTTTTGTATTCCGTCTTGTCTGGTTTCTTTGTCTTTTTTTATTTTCATTTGGCTGATGAAACGCTTGAAAACCAACGCCAGTCCTTCACAATATAAACTCACCTGGGAGAGGTCAGTGGCCTAGGGTTGCTAGCCTTTGGTACAGCACAGCTTTGAATATTCACCTCGATGCCCTGCACTGAAGAAACCGCCAAAAATCATACCAGAGAATGACGCGATGGCGTCATATCAATCATGATCGAGGTTACTTGGCCCTCCTCGTCATGCCTGTGTTGTTCCTCAAGTGCTAATCAATGGCGGCTTGGATAAGTTTTCATCCGAGGGCCTTTTTATTGCGAGATTATACACTGGGGATACACATGAGAAACTGTCAGGACAGTTTCACTTGATGAAGGATCGCTGAGGTTTTACGTGGCATCGTACAACAACAATCTTGGCTTGCGCCATGTCACGTTAGCAAATCTCACCACCAGGCAGAATCCTTCCAAACACCTCCATTCCCCGGCGTTCTGCTAATGGTTGCAATCTGCAAGATATCTCCTATATAGTGTGTATCTGAGCGTGAATTATATCCCGCGGTGGAGAGGAAATGATCCCCCAGGAAAAGAGTGCTACGCACGTTGATGCTCTGCTTCAATGGAGCCCCGACTTCGCGAATAATCCGCAAAACAAGTACCCCAAACTTGTTTGAATAAGGCAGTAGTCACCAGACTTCGGTCGTGCTGGTGGATATCAAGGCGGATCTGCGCAGACAGCCGAGAAAGATTTATGCCGTGAACGTCTCGACGACCAGGGCTGATGGAGGCACCCCTGACAGGGCCCAAATCAAGACTTTTCCGCTGTAAGAGAACAACATTAGGCATGACGGTAACAGGTCGGCCTTGGAATTAACCTTCTCTTCGTTCGCGGACGGTCGAAAGTCTGGGGAACCTGTTGGATGGCGCAGATTCAGAGGTCAGGACGTGACAACACACAGTTCGAGGAGAAAACAAGAAGAGAAAAAGCCAAAAGGAGTAGAAGCTCTAAAGCGACAGGAAGGAAAGGTTCTAGCGTTGACCCGGGGGAACTTATTTTATCTCATTTCCGTCGACATCATTTCCCGAGACATCACCGGAAACAAAGACAGACAGCACCAAACTAACCGGAGCTTCGGTGGCCTCACGGATCGCGCAAACATCTTCACAGGAGGGAGACGCCAGCCAGCATCACACAATTGTCAAGTACACATCGTTGGATGATTGTCCTATTACTGCCTAGCAGCATACCGGCCTCATGGCGAGCTTTGCCTGGCATACAGTCATCTATCAATACTGCTCGACTTCAGAGCCAACCCAATCTTTTGCTCGTGGAAAGAGCGTCAAAAGTCACTGGACCCAACGGAGGGGGTCTCTAATGCTATTCCTCTCTCGGCATTCTTCGTTGTGGTCGTCCTCGTTCCCTCTCTAATTTTGTTCAACCTGATCCACGTTTTGGCCATGCCTGAAGAAATAATCGCAAACAAACCCAAAGCCGATATGGGCCCAAATAAAGAAACACTAAGGAAATGAAAAGCCTTGAAAAAGATACCGACTGCGTGGACACATGGGCGTGTCCGGGGTACCTCGAGTCTAAAATCCCCGTCTACGTGAACGCCGATTTTGCATTGGAAAGCGCAAGATGCCGCCGCATGGATGATCAATCACCTCGCCCTCGGGCGAAGTCCTTACCAGCGTCGGGCGCCACCAAGGGGAGCGTTGTTGGCATTGTTGTCTGAACATGCTGTTAGCATAGCTGTCAAAAGCAAAGGAGGTTAAACATACTTCTACCACCGCCGCCACCACCACGTCCACGTCCCCAGCCGCCGTAGCGACCGCCACCACCACCTCCGAAGCGGGTCATCTCTGCGAGACGAGGGTCGATCTCTTGGCGCGCTTCTCTCAGCACGTTGACAAGGTCACGAGCCTGCTTGGAGTCTGCGGAATTGTTAGCATGATCGGACCAGGGTCCCGGACAAGGAAGGTACTGACTATCAGTGGTGAAGAGGGTAATGGCGGTACCCTTGGCACCGGCACGACCCGTACGACCGATACGGTGGATGTAGTCCTCCGAGTTGTTGGGGTAGTCGTAGTTCAGCACGTGAGTAATGTTACGAACATCTTATTAGAAGGGTTAGCAGACGCCTCACGGTGGGTATAGCAACGTTCCAGCATGGAACCAGACATGTTTGATAATTATATCAGGCTGTCTTTCACTCCGTCGGAGACGGGGCAGTCTGTATGCGTCAAATGCCATCCTGGAAAGTTCAGTGTACCGGGTCCTCGGGCTTGGGGAATCTTGGGGACAGCTTGATGGAATCAAGATATGCCGTATCCACGCTTGTACCATTGGCAAAAGGCAGGCACAAGAGTGGGAAAGCGAGTATAGCAAGCCAAAGGCTACACACCAGACCAAGACTCCGCTCAGAGGCAGAGAGAACCATGGAGACACGAATGCATCAGGCAAAATTGCGCAATCAAGAGAGCCCCTAGACATAAGAGTAAAGTACAGCGCAAGGCTGCTGGAAGTTGCCATGAGGGCTGGGGGATTCTGATACTCACCAATACCACGCGACGCGACGTCGGTAGCCACCATGATAGGGCTCTTGCCCGTCTTGAACTGGTCAAGGACCCAGTCACGCTCGTTCTGCTGCTTGTCACCGTGGATAGCTGCCAAGTTGTTAGCTGTTGATCAGGCGGAGGCAAAAGGTAAGACGTACACAAAGCAGGCCATCCATCCTGACGAAGGAAGCGGGTGATGTCGTCAGCGACACGCTTGGTGCCGACGAAAATGAGGATCTTGTTCTCCTTGTTGTCCATGACCTTCTCCAGATGCTTGATCATGCGGTCGCGCTTCTCGCTCTCGGAAACGACCTCGACGATCTGGGTAATGCGGTGGTTGGCCGCGAGCTCCATGGAACCAATGTTGACCTGGATGAAGTCGGTAAGGAAGTCGGAGGCAAGGGCGCGGACCTCCTTAGGCCAAGTAGCGGACCACATGAGGGTCTGACGATCAGGGCGGATCTGGCCGATGATCTTGCGAATCTGGGGCTCGAAACCCATGTCCAGCATGCGATCAGCCTCGTCAAGAACCAAGTAAGTAACGCGACGGAGGTTGGTCTTGCCCGCCTCAAGCATGTCAATCAGACGACCGGGAGTGGCAATGCAGACCTCAACACCTCTGGAGAGATCGCGGATCTGAGGTCCCTTGGGAACACCACCGTAGACGCAGGTGTTGCGAATGCGAGAAGACTTTCCGAACTTGGAGATCTCCTGCTGAATCTGAACAGCAAGCTCACGAGTAGGAGCAAGAATGAGAACGATGGGACCATCGCCGGGAGCCAGCAGGGGCTGGGCGTTGATGTGGACGATAGCGGGCAAGCAGTAGGTGAGGGTCTTTCCGGAACCCGTCTCGGCAATACCGACAACGTCGCGACCGGACAGAGCCATGGGCCAACCCTGAGACTGAATGGCGGTAGGCGCGGGGAAGCCCTGAGCCTTGACCTCGTCCATCACGTATCTGGGGAAACCAGCCTCGTCGAAGGTCTCGACGGGCTTGGGAACATCGTTGCCAGCAATGGTCATCTGGTGCTTGCGGCGGAAAGACTCGACCTCAGCCGGGCTGCGGGTGGCAACCTCTTCGTGCTCCTTGTAGAAGGACTTCTCGAACTTGGGCATAGAGTTAAGATCTGTTCGACAATCGTTAGCAAATCGGTCTGTGGCATAATGTGATGAACACTCACCCCATTCTTGCTGGCGAAGACCGGCGCCAAGGTTGTTCATGCGGTCACCGCCGCCGCCGCCGCCGTAACCACCACCGCCGCCGCCGTAGCCGTTTCTGATGGGAAAAGAAGGTCAGCGAAATGGTTCTGATCATGTACTTGAGACGACGCGAAATGCCGACGTCCGCGTGCTGTAGTATTGAGGTTGCTTCAGGTTGGTTACAGGCGGTCGTCACATCGTGTTGTGTTGCGCCAAGGCCCCAGTAGCCTAGCCTCGCGAAACGACTTTGTCGGAACAAAAGGGGAGGAGAGAAATCAATCAAAACTTACCCGTTGGAGTAGCCACCGCCGCCGTAACCACCGCGATCACCTCTGTCGCCGCGATCACGACCACCGCCGTAACCGCCTCCACGACCTCCTCCGTAGCCGCCCTGGCCACCACCACCGTATCCGCCGCCGTAGGACATGTTTGTGCTAAAGAGGCAGTGAACGCGCAAGAAGGTTGTTTGTCGATGGATTCGCGTATGAAGCGATGTCAAATGGCAGAAAGAAAGACCGTGGATAGGGAGAGCACGCAAGTAGAGCTCTTTTCTGGACCGAACCGAAAAGAGAGTTGGTTGCGTAAGATGGGAGTTTGTGCTGGGAGAGGGAGAGGGATGCAGAAGGGAAGGAAGAAAAAAAAGAGCAGGATGGATGGATGGAAGGTTTTGGGCGCGCAAGGCGTTTTGCTGGGGTAGGAATTTTTTTCCTCGCTGCCAAAACTTTTCAGCGGCGACAGGCAGGCGCTGCCAGTAGGGACCTTGCAATTTTGCTTGCTAAGGTAAGGCAAAAGGGTACGTATCTCCTACCGCTGGACTGAGACTGCCTGTCGGGGTGGATGCAACCTGCAGAACTGCTGCACGTGGGACCCGCTTCCTTCTTATCGGTATGATTAGGTAATGGTGGGTCTGACTCGCGATAAGGCACCTTTGTGCTTTGCAACATGACGCATGACTCTCTCTCACCTGGGAGGTTTGGACGACGTATCCATTCCCTCAGAATTTACGCGCTGTCTGCGGGTACGTCTGCGAGTGATTGGAAACCATCTGGCCTCATTTCGAGTTACATATGCCAAGCAGGGAAGCTCTTTCTTCTCTCAGTGTTTGGCGTCCGTAATGCTGCGGCATGCACACCCGAGCTGGGCTGTCAAGGAAGGAGAGTATGCGGTATTCCATCGGACGACAGACACTGAAGCTGAAGAGCACAACGATGCTTGGCTCTCTGGCCCGAGTTCCAGCTGACCCGCCTGGTTTGCCTTCTTTAGAGCAGGGCGCAGTGTATGAGATCGTTTGAGGCTGCGAATGACGCCAGCAGCCGGACCTCAATGTCCTCCACATCAATGTTTGAACAATGCCGTCGGAGAAATTCCTGCCGACGTTTAGAAGTCTAGTCTAGTCTTTACTGAACGGCCCCTCTTCCTGTGTACTCTATGGAATTCGTGGACCAACCCTTCCGGATTGTCTAGCTTATCATCGGTAAGGGAACATTTCCCAGAAGCCGATTTCCATCTGTTCGTGGGTCAGCTACGGCCCGGAAACCTCATCTTCTGCAGGGCTTACCTTGGTTCCATGAATAAATATCTTGATCAGACGTTCTATGCTGGAAGGACTTTGCAAAACGGCATGTCTCTCAATCAACTCAGAGCCTGTCTTCACGGCCTGGACGTAGTCGTCGGCTACATAGTTCTCGATCCACTTCCAGTACGTGTTGTCGTCCCGTTTCGTCTTGACATCGCCGTGTAGCTGTTTAGCCACGGCACCGTAGCCCAACAAACAAGGAGCCAAAGCCATCTGTAGGGCGATCCAGTCCTCGCTTTGTCCGACATCGAGGACGTAGCGGGTATATGCTGTGCATGCTTGGTGCTCTTCGGTGGCCTCAATTTCAGGCACCGTGATTCCGAAGCCCTTGCAGTAATCGATGTGTAGAGACATCTCGCGGGCGATATGGCTGACAATGGTGGCACCTGCTGAGATGTCCGCGATGTTCTTTGCTTTGTAAGATCCCAAGGAGTTGGCTCTAGCGAAATGGACCTACCATCAAGTCAGCAAGGACCCAAAGAGGAGGGAAAACAACACAAACCAGATAGAGGTAATCCTGGACAAGATATTTCTTGAACGACTCCAAAGGAAGCGTACCATCACCCATAGCCATGACGAAGGGATGGTACACAAACTCTGCCCATACATCCTTCACATCAGGCCTCGCCAACATATACTCGATGAACCGGCCCCTAGATATTGTCAGCTGATATCACCACCGAGACGAAAGAGGCAACCCACGGCGCAAAAGGCAGAGTCTGAATGGAGTGAAAGTGATTCAAAGGCCCATGCCCCTTTCCGAAACCAGGCGCCGTCCGGATCGCAGCCTCGATATACCTCACCCCAGCCCTCGCAGCTTCGGGTACACTCAGCCCCTTCGCAAGACCCGACGCTATAGCGGCTGCAAACTATCAGTCACACTCCTCAGACAACAATTCAAGAAAAAAACTCACATGCAAGCGAGCAGCCAGTCCCATGCGTGTCTTTCGACGCCTGATACGGGCTCTCGATCCTCACCAAGCCTTCCTCGCCATACAGCACATCCACAACAACCTCCTTCTCTTCTTCCGTCCTCGCAACGGTGAAGTCCGCCTTGAACGGCGCATGCCCGCCCTTGACAAGCACCCACTCGGGTCCAAGACCCTTCACCTTTCTCGCCATCTCCTCCAGATCCGCCACGGAAGCAACCTCGACGCCCTCGTACCCAGCATCCTGCAGAAGCAACTTGGCCTCGGGGATGTTCGGCGTAAGAACCGTCGTGATCTTTAACAAACCCTCAAGAAGCTCGGCAACCGCATCTCTCGGGAGAAGCTCCGCGCCGCTGGTCGCAATCATGACGGGGTCAACTACAATCTTCGGCACGCGATGCCTTTTCAGAGCCTCGACGACGGTCCCAATCGTAGCTGGCGAAGCTAGCATACCTACAAGTCCGTCTTCGTCAGCCGATGCAGCTCCGCGAGAAAGGTGCCTCAGACATCGATCATTGAAGGGTGGAAAGGCGCAACTTGCCAGTCTTGACGACATCGACACCGATATCGTTCACGCAGGCATCAATCTGCTTGACCAAGAACTCCTGCGGCACATGATGGATGTCGTGCACTCCCGTAGTGTCCTGCGCAGTGAGAGCTGTTGTGGCTGTCATGGCATAGCACCCATGAGCCGCGATGACCTTCTGGTCTGCCTCTAGCCCGCTGCGAACCAAGAGGCATCACGTCAGTGAACTTTGCTCCAAGGACGGGGAAAATGTTGGGTGATTGCTCACGCTCCACCGGAGCTATCCGAGCCGGCAATGATCAGTACTCGCCCAGAAACCATGCTTGCTTCGCGGAAATCTACCACAAAAATTCTGGGGAAATTTGAGGTTGTGGTTGAGGACCGCAACGGCAGACGATGTTAATTGAAGCTCCGAAGCAGGCACCCGCCCGGGTCGGTTGGCGTCGGAGGCCGCGGTGGTTCGTAGATGTCACTCAAGGTGGGGGCGGGGCAGTCACCAAGTTTTCAAGAGGTAAGGTACTCCAGACACGCGTTCCCTCCCGGCCCCCCTATCTATCAATCACGCATCCCCACGACAGTCTGAATATTCATCAAATCCTGGAGGTAACTTGCACAAAATGACGAGATGAGTGAACCAGTGACTTTTGAATTGCCTTCCTGCCGACACCCTACTCCACGGGAATCGATACGCAGATGGCCGCCCGACTCCACCCTATCCATTGCTCGCTCCCAAATGGACATTTCGTGATTTCTCTGAGAGCTTCTCTGTGCCTGGTCTGAATCACGACCAAATTGATCGACGTATCCATCCCCCAAGATCCCGAGATATAGTACAAAAAAAGACCAATAGTAACAAAACGCCTCGTCATGGGTGCCACCAACGCATCTTGAAATCCACCTCATTTCCCTCCTTATGCGAAGTAACCCGTCAAAATGTGCGGCTCTATAGTACAACGACGTGGCTTCACGCCGTCTCCGCAAACTCATCCGTCTGATCTGAACTCAGACTGTCCGATCGCTCTGCCCGCGGCTGTGGGTTGTCCTTTTCCAACTCAGACGGGTCTGAAATGCTCCTCTGCCTCTCAGTGCGGTTCTCGTCCCCAGAAGAAGACCCATTTTCTTCTTCTTCTGCTTCCTCATCTTCGTCATCATCGTCGCTGTCGCTGTCCTCGTCGAACACGATTCTTCGAAGAACGTTCTTGTCGAACATTTCTATCACCATCCGCCTAATCGGAAGGCGATAGTGATTGTACTCAAGCATCGTCATGATCCGCTTGAACATCTTTGGTGACCTAAAGCCCGCTACCTTGTGCTGCCGGATTTGCATCAGCTCGCCCATAGCGCGCTTGTAGAGAACCATGTTGCCGAGGTCAACAACTAAGTCGAGGATTCGCTGGTTTGTGGCGACTTCGTCTGTAAAGGCTGGTAATTCCTCCTTCTCCAGGGGTGGACGAGCTTCGGTGGGAGGCGGAGGGATCAAGTAAGTCTTCTGCGTGGTGGGCAGCGCGATCTTGGACGCAATGGCATGTTTCCAAGGCTTGAAAGAGAAGAACTTAGTCAGGTCGTTCGGGATGCAGAAACCCAACGATTCCCCCCTAGGTGACAAGTTGGAGTCCCATCCGCATTCCGAGAGAATCTCCAGACCGTGCGCCGATCTGGATATCAATCCCAGCACGAAGAAGGCTGTACCTCGCAGGCTCATCACCTCGTGCTCTTCGGCGATCTTGACAATGTCTTCCACGACATCGCAAGACTCAATGAAGGGAGCCCCTAGCTCCATTGAGCCTACGTTGCCAACAGCCCACATAGATGCTTTGACTTTGAGCATGAGCTCAGGGTCCTCCGACTGCATCCCATATTCCTTGATAGTGCTGGCGAACTCTGCAAAATGCCCCTTGTCACTAAGGAGTTTGCAGCCTTCTTGCGTGCGTGCGAGCTCGCGGTAAAAGTGTGGGGGGATGTGGTTCTCTGGCTCGGCTTCTGCTTGAGCTTCGTCCACCATATTCATCCGGTTTTGGTGTTCTTCCGGGTTCTCGAGGAACGCCTTCGCCAAACTGGTCTCAATAACACCAACGTACGAGTCGTTCCGGCCGAGGAACCAATCATCCATCTCGTTGCTGATATAGTCGACACCGTCGAGGTAGTGGTAGCCGATCGAAGAGGACAAGAACCGAAGGAGGAGAGGGGCGCCGATTTCTCCAAGATGGTCCATCGTTGGACGACATTGGACGACGTACTCCAAATATGCCTTCTTATTGCACGCCTTCTCGAGGATCTTAACCGCGGTCCGACAGACTTCTACCTCGGGGTCATATAGCTGGTCGACCAATTTCTCTATCGCCCACTTCCAATCCACCTTGCCGTGGGAAGGCTGCGACGCATCAAAAGGTCGAGTGGCGTATTTTCGCAGGACGTTTGTAGCAATGATTCGAATCTCCCTTGTCCCGGATGTAAGTGCCTGTTCGATTAGCACTCGAGGGTGGCCTGGGACGCTGTAGTCGAAGTTGGCGAGGAGAAGTTTGATCAGGTCGGGACGCTGCTTGTGTCCAAGGATGTGATACATCATGTTGAACATTCTCCATCGCTGAAGAAGTTCTAAGCCTTTGGGATCGCCGCTAAGGACCCCCAACATAGGGAAGTAGCCAGCACAAAGAGTGCTCTGCAGGCGACCGGGCGAGAACATTGGATCGGCAGAAGTGAGTCCACTGCTCTGTATTGTGTGTTAGTCTTTGTGTGGATGACACTATTGCTGTAGAACTTACCGGATCACACTGAGCGAGGCACTCCGCTATTTGTCTCAGCAGCTTATGATCTTGTAGGTAATCGACACCTTCCGGTGATTGCAGCAAGGTGTGCATCAACGCACAGCCAACTCTGACGTACTTTTGGGTGTTCTTGTTGGTCGATAGATCTGAGAACCGGTGCTTAAACGGCCTGTAGAAACTCATGATCCTGTTCATAAACTTGGAAACCCTATTGACTTCATCCAGCCGTTTGCCGTCTTGAAGCGGCCCATCGATGATTCGGGAGATGACATCCCAGTTCCACTTCATGTAATTTGAGCTGTTCAAAACGTTGGACTCGACTAACAACTGCCGGATTGCGCCCTCTTGAACCACAACTCCTGCGTTGCCTTTGCGGTGCATGTCTGCAAGGTTTCCCATACTGTCACTCGAGGGTAGAGCGCCAGCGGTGGCGGATGACGAGGAACTCCTGTACAACGTCTTGCTAACAGAACTTATCTGGTACACTATACCTGACGCAACGAATCTGTTGTCATCCTTGAATTGAGTGGCGGCAGCAAAGAGGTCGGGAAGTAATGATAAGTCATTGCTCCAAGAGGCGGGAAGCAGTCTGCTGGATAACTTGAGTACCTCACCAATGAGAAGGCAGGTTTTTCTCGTCAAAGCCGGCTCGCTCGTTCTCGCGACTTGAAGCAGATTTTCCAATAAACCAGCTTTAACGAATGTCGCCAGGAGCAGAGCTGTATAATGATCCATGAAGTTCTGCTCCCCGCCATCATCTTCATGAGGCATGCTGATGGCTAGTGGTGCTTGCTGATTAGGCATTGATTTGAGGCTCGCCACTCGTCCGTATGTCGTCAACCTACGGCCGGCAAGGAACGAGGAGGCCCACGAGGGAGATTTGATCCGAAGTAGCAGGTAGATGAGGTCAATGACCGTCTCTCGGATGGCTGCCTGGGGAAGCACCATGCTGGTGAGCAACGATTTGATGGCTCGAGAGTCATGCATGGTCAGCATCATGAGACCTGGCCAGCTCTTCAAGATTTTGGTGATGGCCTTGGAGTTTTGTTTTAGCAGGCTCTCGTTGGCGAGAATTATATCTGTGAACGCCGTGAAGAGGACCTCCAGATCATAGCCGGAGCGCAAGTAAATCCTCTTCTGTGGGTTGTCCAGAATCTGCAAGTAAGAGGCAGTGAGGGTTTCTGGTGACTTGTATGTGCCCTCGATGAGCGCCTCTGAAAGTGGCGACAGCCCTCCAGAGGCCACAGCCAAGGCGGGGTCACGGAGCATGATTTCGGCCAGGGTTTCCAGGCAGATCGACCTTAGGCGATCCTCAGCTTGTTCTGCAACGGCTGCAACGGTGCGTACGACCGCCCTGGAAATCTCCTTGACGCCGTCCTTGACATCCAAAAAGGCCCGGACAAACTTTAGTGCTTGCTCGCGTTCTAGATCAGCCTTTCGATCTTTGATCAAAGATCTTTCCAAAGTTAGCTGCATGTCCTTGTCAAAGAGAGGAGATGGAATAACTCACGTCACGACGATGATATCAGTGTTTAAGCTGCGAATCTTTCTCAGAGATGACACATCTGAGATGGCGTATCGAATCATCCGGTAACCAGCTGCTACCACTTCCCTGGCCTCGCTGAGAAGCATGACCTGCATTCGTAGACCAAAAACAGACCATACTAGGTCGTACTTCAGAGTCGGATGCCTTCTGAAAAGATCTACAAGGCTATTGCCGCGGCTGACATAGTATTCAGGAGGCATTCCCTCCTGCTCCAGCGCCTGAAGCAGCTCAGCCAAGAGGAAAGTCGGCGACTGCTCGGCTACATCCTCGGCGTCAGATCCTGCACCGCTGCGGGAAGCACTGGGTGGCGATCGCAAGCCGTTGTTGGACGGAAAGAAGCCGTCTGTTCTTTGCCTCGTAGGCGTAGTGGGCGTCGTTTTCAACCTCTGGGCGTCGGCAATCTTCTGTCGTAAGAGCTGGATACGCGAGTTGGATGCCTTGAGCTCGGCCTCCACCTTGGCTCTCTGCTCTTTCGTCTGCTTGGCCTTCTTAGCGTTCAGGGCCTCGAGCATGTTCTCGCTACCATCCTTGATCTTCATCTCGCGGTTCAGCTGTTCCCGCAGATTGGCGAGGGCCTGTTCGGCAGCAGAGATGCCGTCGACCTCGTCGACCTTGTCCATGGCGTAGATGTCGCCGCGAGAGCCGGAGCGCGAGGGCATCATCTGGCTGCGCAGCTCGGAGCTGAAGCTTCCCGGGGCGATGGAGGGGTTGAGGGAAGAGCCTCGCGGGGCGAAGCTGACGCCCGAGGCGCCCAGGCTTCTTGGGCCATTTGTAGAGCTCAGAGGCGGCTGTAGACCACTGCTGCTAGGTTCGCGCTCGAAACTGGGCCTGGGATTGAGTGTGTTGACGCTGGGAGTGGACGACTGAGGCGACAATGCCTTTTGGGACTGGGTTGCGGATGCGCCCAGCATGGCGGGTATACCTCTCTATGATACCACCTTTTTCCGGGGCCGCTCCCAAAGTCCTTGCATTCGGGCAACTGTTATTGCGAAAAGTCTAAGAGATAGTTGTAGAAGTCCAAGACTGGGGGTCGACTGATCGATTGGGTTCGCGCGACAGGATTGGGACTTTCGCCGATCGGGGTGGGTTTCGCGATAGGAGGATGGAGTTTCAATCGTGGGTCGGACAGGTGCGAAGTTGGACCGGTCGTGGACAAGCAGTTGATGGAAGAAGGCTCAGGCTGGGTTTCTGGGAGGTTGTAATTCGGGTCGCGATGCGTTGGGAAGGCGTGTGATGTCGGTCGGCAGCTTGCAGAAGCCAATGCAAAGGCAGGTTGGCGGTGCTGGTGGAGATGCGATGGAGTTCAAAGCTGAGGACGGGATATACGCAAAGGAGTGCCGGTCGGCGGACAGTATCCGGGCGGGTTCTCGACGTCGGACCGTCTCGCGGAAAGAGACGGGAGCTCGTTCGATCGGTAAGCTGTTCAAGTTCCAAGTTCAGGTCGAGATTGGGTAGGAGGTCGTGGTGGAAGTGGTTGTTGTGGTGGTGTTCAATGGGGCGTTGCGTTGCGTTGTGCCACACCTATGCCACGGACATTCCAACCTCTGTGCAGTGCGGCCTGTCATCCACAGCCTGGTGCCGACTTTGGGAGTGGGGGGAACCGCCGTTGCGCTGAGGTGCTTTGTTGGTTCAAGGGGGGAGGGAGGTCCGCTGTCGAAATGGTGCTGTGTCACAACGTCAGGCCTGTTCCAGTTCGACCCGGGCCAGCTACGGGAGGTGCAGCACAGCGCGTCTGTCAGTCCAGTCAGTGCTACGGCAGCACTAATGTGGTGGAGAGATGGGCGTCCAGTGCATGCCCGAGGTGCGCTCAACTGCTGCACTGCCTTACCTAAGGCCAGGCAACCAAAACCGAAGGTACGCCTTAGAAAGATAGGTACCTTTCTTTACCTGGAACATCAAGGATTTGACCGAGGCGCAGGCCAACCTACACCGCTCACCTTGCAAGACGAGATACCTCAGCCTCAAGTCCGCACTCATGAGTGCTCTTGTTGTGCGATCTGATGACCCATCCACCATCTACGTCTGCCGTCCCGTCAACGACATGGCAGCACACGATTCGACCGTTCTTCCATCGCAACACATCACCAGCAGCACATGGGATCGGAACGGCAATCTAGAACGGCCGTTGATCCGAACAGCAAGAAAAGCCAAAGACGACAACCAGTTCGCCTTCGGTTACGTAGTATCATTGGCATAAAGCGCATTGCAACACACGGCCAGAGATCCGGATAAAGCCACTGGAAGACCAGACACAGATCTTGGCACAGGACTGCCAACTGCTCCCAGAGACCTTCATCATGCTCGCAACCATGCACCACGGACCACGAACCACGAACCATGGACCATCCTACTTTATCCTCCCGAGGAAAGCCCTTGCCGTCTGAAGCTGCTCGTGCCACAGCGCAGACTGTCACTGCCAATGCTGAAACGCGGCCGGCTCCCTTCCACAAGTCGTTCGATGCCCTCGGAGACATCCATCTGTGCATGCGATAAGGCTCCCCGCCGCTGAGCGCGAGCGATCGAGTGCTACTAGCGTGAGTAGCGTGAACAGAATTATTTCTGTCAGGATCATGAACCGGCTTTTGATCTTCGGCCCTTCGGCCTCATACTTACCCACACACCACCGAAGAAGCGGGGGTCCCGGATCCTATCGGTCGTCACCTCGCCTCACTTGGCCTCCTTCTCAGCTCAGGCTCGGGGAGGGGCGGCAGATGGTCGGCCGGGCCCTTGGGATTGCTGAGGAGGACCTGCATGACGATGTGGGGTTCAGTGAGCCCCTAGGAGAGTTGCTGCACTACACGGTACATGCAAACATTCAGTGTCAATCTGACTGATCAACGGCGCAAACTCTTCCTCTGTTGGGCGCGCCTTTCCATTGGACGGAGTACCCAAGTGAACTTTGCCAGACTCGGATACATGTCTCCATGATGCTGTGGTAAGGTGGTGCTTGAGCCAGTGATCATCAGCGTGGGAGTAACAATTACACGAAAGATGAACCAACAGACCCCGAGTCCCGTGTCAATATCCTCAATGCGGACCCTGCAGAAACCCTACACTAGTCCATCATTGACCGAAAGGCGTTTGCTTTTTCATTTCAGAGGTAGACAAATTACCCAGCGTTCCCCGCCGTCCCGCCTGGCGCAGAGAGCCGTAGTCAAGCTCCCACTGAAGCGGCTGAGTGCGGCGGGCTGCCCCCAAGGGACATCGGCGGGCTCCGGGGGCTCCACTCCACGCCAATGAGACCATCTTACCCCACGGCTGCCGGGCCCTATCAAGCAAACCGGGTCAGTTCGGCCAGGCTCATTGGGTCCCCTGATGGCGTCCCGCGGGCCAGGGCAAAAAACGTGCCGACTCAAGACGCGACTACGCTATCTATCTCTGGGGGCCTGGCAGCTTTCTGTGTTCTGGGTGACGTTCAACGAGGCTAAGGTGAGCTTGAGAGGCAAGCGAGAGGCAAGCAAAGAGCTCTCAACCTTGCCGTCTTAATATATAAACACTTATCGGGCCCCTCGACGACTATCTCCTCTCCCTCTAGTCTGTCCTCCGTGCCACCTCATCTCATCCCAACCTCAACAACAACCACTCCTCTCACATTTAAGCCATCACATCTTGCTTTCAGTCCTTTCCAACAGCGGTCCTTATCTCTCATCCATCTCACACCCCGTGATAGACCTCATACCACCTCTCCCTGTGATACCCCATCCCAAACCAACAGCAACAACCGCCAATATGCCCGTTCTCGCCTCCGCCCGCTACGGCAAGGACAATGTCCGCGTCTACAAGGTCGAGCGCCACGGCGACTCCCAGACCGTCACCGAGATGACCGTCTGCTGCCTGCTCGAGGGCGAGATCGAGACATCCTACACCGTCGCCGACAACAGCGTCGTCGTCGCCACCGACTCCATCAAGAACACAATCTACATCAAGGCCAAGGAGAACCCCATCAACCCGCCCGAGCTCTACGCCTCCATCCTCGGCACCCACTTCCTCGACACCTACATGCACATCCACGCCGCCAACATCAAGATCGTCCAGCACCGCTGGACCCGCATGACCGTCGACGGCAAGCCGCACCCGCACTCCTTCTTCCGCGACGGCGAGGAGACCCGCAACGTCGAGGCCCGCATCTCCCGCAAGGACGGCATCGCCCTCACATCCGCCATCCAGAAGCTCACCGTCCTCAAGAGCACCGGCTCCGCCTTCCACGGCTTCGTCCGCGACGAGTACACCACCCTCCCCGAGACCTGGGACCGCATCCTCTCCACCGACGTCGACGCCCAGTGGTCCTGGAAGTTCCCCGACGTCGCCGCCGTCAGGGCCGCCGTCCCCAAGTTCGACCCGGCCTGGCAGGCCGCCCGCGACATCACCATGAAGACCTTCGCCGAGGACGAGAGCGCCAGCGTGCAGAACACAATGTACAAGATGTGCGAGCAGATCCTCGCCGCCGTGCCAGAGGTCCTGACCGTCACGTACACCCTCCCCAACAAGCACTACTTTGAGATCGACCTCAGCTGGCACAACGGCCTGAAGAACACGGGCAAGGACGCCGAGGTGTACGCGCCGCAGTCCGGCCCGAACGGGCTCATCAGGTGCGAGGTCGCGCGCTCTGCCAAGAACGAGACGGCCAAGTTGTGAAGGTTGGGGCGCTGTTGAGAGGGGATGAGACGGAGAGGTTGGAAGCCTGCACTGCATTTATCCCGGCGTCTATGCATTTTCTTCCCGCATCTGGCTGGGTATTTTTTTACTGTAATAACGAGCAATGACTTAGAGCAATGACATCAAGTGCTAAATTGCAACGTCTCGCGGTTCAGATGAGTGATGTAAAGATTATCGTGAGTTCATGTGTAATAACATGGCGCCCAATTTTAGCACCGCATCCTACGTCAAGCTCGATGAGAGATATGTATCTTGACATGAGAATCAGTGATGATCGTCTCATCGTCATCATGAGCTGAAGAAAGTGAATTTGGACGGAACTGAAGGCAATGGTGAATGAACAGTTTTCTGGTGAAATTACATCTATAAATCGGACGTCGTTGTCCGTCCACATAGCTGTAGGATATTGCCACCGTCAGATCCGACCAGAAGCCTTGTCTTCCTTCAAAATTTGATCCTCGAGCACAAGTAGATATTTCTCACATTATGTGTAGGCAACATCATGAACAAAATGGTTTATGAGTGGACACTCATCATCAGCTCACTCCGGGTAGGACATTATCATCTCTCGTCCTTGCTTCGAAGCACCTGAAGGGAACGGACGAAGGGTATGACAGCAGACATTAACCATTTTCCAAGTGAGTCTATCTAGAAACTCTCGGCCCGACGTCTACCTGTAGCTCACCACAATCTACGAGACGGATTCAATATAGGGCTTAGGACATGGTGTGATGACTCCTTGAAAACCATGGGCGTCAGGACGCTGCAAGTAGCAAATCATAACACAAGCAGGAGAAACAACCGAGTCTTAAGCTGCCACAGGCCTACAGTGGTGACCTACACCCCTCTCCCTCTTCTCATGTGCTACTTCAAGATCTTAGCAGATCTTGGCTGCCGCTCATACCAGGCATACCAAAGATCATGCTCTTCTCTGCACGAGGTGGCAACCGTCCAACTTCACAAGTCCATTGACGACAACACAGTTCCATGAGACTCATTAGACTTCAATTGAGATGCCCATATTCATACAGAATATACACGCCATACGGCCAAAACCCCACGCTCACTTCCCTCCCCTGCCCCATCGTCTTATATCCTCTTCGAGCCAGCCTCCCGAATAGCCTTAACCTGCTCCTCCCATCCCGTCTGGCCCACAGGCACGTCCCCGAACCGGATGACATTCTGCTTGTACGGGTGCGCCCCGCCCTCGAACGCCTTGAGCCGCGCCAGCCTCTTGTCCCGCAGGCGGTTCTTG